CGTAACTGCTAATAATATTTCATATAGGTTTTCTAAATTTCGTCATAGATCGATTTTCTAAATTGTCATAATTCTATTTTCTAATTTATCATGATTCGATTTTCTAATTTGTCAATGATTCGTGTCAAACTTTGACGTGATTTTCCATGTTCCAATTAGTGTTTTCTGATAAGGATTCTCTCATTGGAGATTGTTAGCAAATCTTCTTATGTGTGCTTGTTGCTGTCATAATTGTGAATCTGCGTTTTTCCTATGTCAGAACGACGCTGGTCGGTGCTGGGGTGTTGCCCTGTCACCTGTGAAGCAAGATCATGAGGTCAAGTAGAGAGATCTGGGGATGCTTAGGGGCGGGCATCTCACAAAATAATCAAGGGTTGCTGCTTGGAGGATGTCGGTCGGAGTTGGGGTCAGTTGTGTTACCCTGTAACCTAGCGGTGGAGTGTGAGGCTGGGCAGATTCAGGCAGAGAGTATGATTGCGTTGGCGAGCCTGAGTAGGGTTGTTATAGTCTCCTTGACTTTTCTGCAAATTGTCAACTAGGTATTTTTTTAGCCAAAAAACATACAAGTAAGGGAAGCAGATTATTCGCACAAACGGGTGGGAAGTTCGTAGGCGGGTGTAACAGGGAAATTGCAGTAGTCTTCGTCAGTAGGTAAGAAGGACGTGGTTGACACGAAGTGGTGGCCAAAACTGCTTAAAAATGTATCCTATTCAGAATCTCAAAAAAATCTAGTCTTATTATACATTCAATATCAGTATACTTTGGTTAATCATATGGATATAAAAAAAAGTACTACTTTAGAAAAAATCTCTATATCTCAGCAATTTTTTGTTTATATGTTGTACCCAACTCACTCTTTATGTGGTTGTTTGAATCAATTAACTTTTGCATGGACTCACTAAAGTAAGGCCTTCGGCTTCGCCTACTTCGTGTCCTGAGGTTGCCTGGACGTCCACGTGGGAAACTGGTCACTTGATCCAGTGAAACCCCACCAAATAGGTAAGAGAACTCAAAGCAAGTAGAGTTAGTGAACCGTGAGTCAGGTGAGTTTGGCGATGAGTCGTTGCGGCACCCTAAACCTGGCGACTCTGGCGATAGAGCAGACGCTTCTACTCTGGCGAGCGGAGTGAGTACCAGGATAAAATCAAGAAGTGAACCACGAATCTCAATTCTCTCGTCTAGACCCAAGCAAGTGCACACACAGCCCAATCTTATATTTTGTTTGATGGTTGACTTGCAATTTTGTTGAATAGAAATAAGATCACCACTGGAAACTTGAAAGTTAGGTCGAGGGATAATTTGAGTATTAACACAAATATTTTTATGACTTATAAGTTGTCTTGCTGTAAAAATAGTAGAGCAAAAATTCATACGTACAAGAAGAATGTCCAATCTTTTCTCCATTAATTTGAGGTTTGACGGTTGGCATCCCAAGGGACATGGAAAGAGAGCAGTCCTGAATGTATCATCTACGTCCATATAACCACCTCACGGAGTATATCTTGCGTCTAAAGCTTTCATAATATAGTATCCAATTTCAAAACTGGGAAATTCTGCTAACGCGCCTCGATTGACACAAGAGAAAGAGGTAGGCTAGCCAAGCTATATATACGTTGGACGCAGACCGTTGTTGGAGCGTTGTGACGCCCAAACCTCACGCCCAGCGCGACTTCCTGTTTCGGAGTATTAGTGGGCCTGGAAGTGCAAAAAGGGGTTTGCCAAGGATTTTAGGAAAGTGGGGGTGGAGTCCCATGTCGGAACGGAAATCTCCGGCGTCAAGTTACAGGGGTAGAAGTGCAAGTGTCTCGTTTTAGCTCAGAATCGGGGCGATCGCCGATCTCACGGCCTGGGTCGGGGACGTATCTGATGTACAGGCGGAACGCTATGAGTATCTCTCTGAGAGTACATATATCGTCGTCGGCCAATACACATCTCAGAGTCTGATGAGGACGGTCCGTCACGGTCGTAGTCGGAGACTGTGCTCCCGACGCTCTGCTTCGGAGCGGGTTCGTCGGACGAACCCCGCTTCGTGATACTCGTTGTATTGCTGACACTCCGAGCACGGTGTGTGGGGCCAGTAACGAGCTATGGAGTCCCACAGAATAACAGTTAGGTTGTGATACAAAAGAAGGACGTAATAGGGAGGAAAACGGGTAGTAATAGAGACGAAGCCTGGGGTCCGATAATACGGTCTATTGCGAGTATCGGGATAGTCCGGAATCCGAGAATCCCGGTTTATTTCCCACTGGAAATCGCCCGCGCACAATCGATCGTTCTCAGTCTGACAGGGGTAGTCAGGATTCCGTGAGTTTTTTCGCCACCTAAGTCGTTCCCCCTCCCAATACGTCCGATACTCTGGGTTCCTTAAGCTCTCGCGGTCAGTGACCCAAAAGGGAGTTTCCACAACCATATCCTGCTCAATGGACTTTAATTGCACACATTTCCTATCTTGTCGCGCGGATAAGTCGGTGATAGGCGCTTTTGTCCGTGCGTCGGTCTATCCCGTATGCATGCAATTATTCTCCTTATGCAAACATCATCATTCCAAGTGAGATCCAACCGTTATATACATATCCATATATCATGCAACCAAGAAGCGATTGTCGAACATCAAAGACCAATACATCAGATCATTCCTGCAATCATACATGAACTAAGAGCAAATGCTCAGGCAAGACATGCGCGCCGAGCGTATCCGGCAAGATCCAGGAGAACCGAAAACTCGCGGATCATGATGCACGCAGCGCAGATGGGTACTAAAAAGTGACGAAATTTGAATTAAGCCAACACTATTAAACAAAACAAAATTGGAAATTAAAAACAACTCGAGAAAAGAGGCACGAGTTCGTTCATCCGCATGCATACATACATACGAAACAGAAAATCCGAGATGATTTACAAAGAAATATGAAACTGCCGCAACAGAATTGGCCACGTTGGAGTCAAAATTACACAGGTGGGAAGAAAGGCATTGTTCCACCATATCCCCGTTCCTCTCTCTCTCTCTCTCTCTCTCTCTCTCTCTCTCTCTCTCTCTC